TATTTTTTAAAAAAGTGTGTTGCTTCCATGTGCTGTACATGACCTTGTCTGACGCCGACCCCTTGGTAGTAATTTTAATCATCAAAAACTGTTATAAAGAGTGTGTCTTGTTTCCGATGATCTCATTTACTTGTGTTGCTCATACAGAGATATCAGTTTTGATTTCAGTCTGTTTCATAAGCAGCTAAAATCTCCTCAAAGGGGCTTTAAGAGCAGGCAGAAACACACAGCTTTATTTAGTGTTCATCATGTAAGTCTGTAATTAAGTTTTAGCTCTAATAAGGCAGGAGGGTCTATTAAATAAAAAGTGGGGTAAAAGTCTTCTAGGCAAATGCAACGCTTAACTTAAATCATGCGGTTTGCAATAAGCTTGCTAATTCTGTCCACTTCTTTGTGTTTGTGTGTGTGTTTCCATGTCTGTGACCTTTGCACAGACAGGCCAGAAAGAGCAATTCAATTAGAGTCCATCACATAACCCACGTCTCCGACTGGGTGAACACAACACAGCACGCGCACTAACACAGAGCAGCGTGAGCGTGGGTTCAGGGTCCTTCAATCACTTCAAACGTGTCTTCATCTTCTCTGATCATCAGAGCACGACAGTCCCGCTATTCAAACCCCAGCGGACGTTCTCCACCTTATTTGAAAGCTACAAAGGAGCTCACTTTGAGGTTACCTTAATAACTGAGAACAGCAAGAGACAAAAAAAGAGGCTTCACTAAATATTAGCGGATTTATTAGCATCTTTTTTTAAACTAAAATTTGGACGTACTTCAATCAATAAATGGATTCTCTACCAGTGCTTGTACACTGGGACAAGGACAATAGATGATTTATTTAAAACTGTAGCTCGACTTGACTGTCCAAGGCGAACTTACTGACCGTTTACATTGACGCTAAATAAAGTGATCCCCTGCGTACACATGTTGTACATCAAGCGTTTTATCAGCATGAAAACATTTTGACATGCGCAGAGTCTGTGTTGCTGTACGTCTGTATTTGATTAGGATCCGATGGATTCCTGCATCGTTCAACTTTTCATGAACTGGTTTGAACAAACTCCGAGTTTCTTTTCTTTCTGACATCAAGCCAGAGTTATTTATAATCTCCAGGAAAAAAGTCACGTCGGACCAGTTTTGTTTTTCTCCTGCTAGATTTTTTTATCCATTCCGGCGATAATGAAAGTGGGAATTGTTAAGGTCACAAGGGGAAGATGTGTGCAATTATCAAACTATTAGTCCAACCAGGAAGAAACAATTAGATCAACTGTTAACATTGATATTGATCCTTAGAGCAGAGAACTCGAATGTAAGAATGGGCCGCATCGGAACCAGTCTCTTGAACTGTTTCTCATGAAGCATTTATCTGATCAGTCCACGGAAACATAACCGTGTGTGAAGAAGCAGCAGCAGAAAAGAAGCCTGATTTAACATGGAACTGCTTAACTGAGTGAACCTCCAAATAAAACAACATCTGCTTTTTCTATGTTCTTGTTGTTGTTGTTGTTGCCATCATAGCAAAATAACCGACCGGAAATCAGTTCTTCTTTGCTTCCCTAAAATAGAAGAGGGAGAACAGATTCCCAGAGAAAAAAAAAAAAAACATTTTCTGGATCATTTCACATTGACTGATGGATGAACTCACCAACACCTGAGGCATTTACCGATACTGTTACCGGTAGTGAAATAAGTCATAATATTAAAAACCTTGAGGCACATTATGTTCAGTGTTTCTTATTTCTGCACCTCCTGAGAAATGAGAGCTACAGTAAGAGAGAAGCATGCTGCGTTTCTTTGTGGCTCCCTGAGGTAAGAAACGAACTGCTGACAGGTGTATCAAATATAATAGATGAGACTGCACTTTTTTACGTGTGTGTGTGCGCATTTGACACAAAGGATGGAGGGCTGAGTCCGACAAGGGGAGAGAGAGTAGAATGACGCGGGTAAAACTTAACTTTAAACAAGCACACACACACAAAATCTCTGTACTGTGTCCCTGTCAGTCATCAGTCTGTCATCTAGTCGGCACTAGTTTCATATTTTTGGGATCATCTGTGCGAGGCTGCGTCAGCTGAGGTGTTTTCAAGCCTCAGGTGTCAAAGTGTCAGTAGTCCACACTGCTGCAGAGGGGACGGGCAAATGTGAGATGTATTTGTTGTATATTTGACTTTTTTTTTTTTTTTCAAACGCTGCAAATAACAAGCAGCTTCAAAGAGAAAACTAAATCATGATTTTATAAAGGAAACAATTCAGTCACAGAAAGTAAGATGTGTCATGCAGAATCCCAAATCTGCGTCAAACCGTCTCCTTTTCTCCTGCATGGTGTCTTACGTAAGAGATTCTATTTATATTTGTTCCCTAATTGGATAGACTGAATAACTTTTTTTTCCAGCCTGTGGGACAAACATCAGGCCTCCTCTCATTCTGTCTGGAATTTGGGTTGGAAAAAAAAGAAAAAGAAAGAGTTCCTCTTAAAAGATTCATAAGCCGCTAATGAGGTTATGAATTACATTTCAAAGCAAAAAAGAAACTTGTGTGACGTCATGTGTGCGTGTGTGTCTGCGACAGGAGGGGCTGCGGTATAAATAGTTGCTCAGTGTAAAAAGATTATCGGAATGAAAAGAAGACATTTGCAGGCGGGACAAATTGCAGACGAGACACAGAAGTTGGACAGAAAAGCGGCCCTTAAGCTATGAAGTTATTTTAACTTATAAAACACCGAGACAATCAATGTTGAGTTTTAGAGTGTGTGTTTTGAAAAGCTCCACTTACATGAAACAGTTCCCTGAAGACCAAAAAGAACAGATTGTCTTTTTCAAATTGTTTTGAGAAGAGGTGGATTAGCCTCGTTTCACAGATTCACATGATACGTGTGAGTGGAACATTTTCAGTCGATTATGTTTCTTATACACATTCTTAGGGATGGGAATCTTTGGATGTCTCACAAGTCGATTCAGAATCTATTTTAGATTCAAAACAATTCATGGATCCATGGATTCAAAGTCTATTTTTGAATTAGTACAAACTTCAGGATCTACTCCAGTCATCTGTGGGACTGGCTGAATTTCTTGCTGCTCCATTTGGCTTTCTACTGAGTTAAAGAACTAGCATTAGCGCTTAGCATGGAGTGACTGATTAGCCAATAAAAAAGATTCTTGGAAGTGATGAATCGATTTAAAGAATCTCAAATTTTACATAAAACGATTTTTTTCCCCCACCTCCACACATTAGCGTGATAAAGTTGTGGGGTAGAGATTGAGGGAGTAGACTCCAGAGAGGGTGTAACAGCTGTTTCAGTTGGACAGCTCGAGAGATTCATGTGGGACCAGGAAGAAGAGTATATGAGAAGATGGAGGCAAATGACGAGGAGGAGTGATGATGAAAATCTTACATGGCGACACAAGAATGTAATAGAACCAGCAGCTCATTCCCTCACTGCACACGTCTATATAAAAAACAAAATGAAATCATCCTGTAGAGCAGCAGTGGGAAAGGGGGGGGGGGGGGGGTGTCAGCTGAAGAGATAGGGAGAGAACAACACAACCTGCAAACATGCTCATTAAGTGCAGCAGAGCTGTCAGGACTGAAGACATTTCCACAGCTGGAAAACAGCCAAACGGGCTCCAAAACTATCACATCCTATCACATCTGTCCTGTCAAGTGTGCGTCAGATCACAATCACATGGAGCTTGTTTCTGCCTGCTTCCCAGCAGCGTGCTTTAGTGCTGTCTGTTTCCTCCGGCCCAGCCTATTTGAGTGAAACGGAGCCATTGTTTTTCCTCATCTTTAAATTCACTGGCTTAACATTATTAAAAAAACTAACGTGAAGAAAGGCAGTGAATAAGAAAACAACAGAAACTTTCAGGGATTTGAAAGAAAATGGTCTACGGAGCCCCTTAAGTCCCTGAAAGTAAAAATAAAATATCTTGTCTTGTGTGCACAAGATATTTTTTTCTCTTTTTGGGACTTCAGGGAATTCGTAGAAATTCCTATTTTGCAACTTAAGAACGTCATTTTGCATACAATGTGATATTTCATAAATGTTTCTTTTGACTCAGAGATTCTAGTCTTAAATCATTTAAGATCCTCTTGTGACTATCTTATCTTTGTCACATTTCCTCTCACGGTTTCTCCTTTGCTCTGCTGATCTGGTACAGAACGCTGCAGGAGTCGCATATCTCAGTAGAGCGTTCAATCATAACCATTAATCCGCACGTTTTTCAAAAAACGTATTAAAACTAAACTTCTCAGAAAAGCTAAAACGTTGACGTACATCCTCATGATAAAAAGTTAAGTTGGAGACAGAAACCATGTTTGAGAGAAATGTATTTGATGTGTATTTGTATTCTGAAAAGTTTGCCCGATGATCCATCTGTTAACATGGAGGGGGGCGGAGCCTGGAGCCTGTCAGACCGAGTCCGTAATCATGTTTATTGCTGTTGTAAAAATGGGCATTTTAGAATTTAGAGTGTGCATGTGACTAACAGAGATTTGGCTGTGAGCCTCTAGTGGACACTCGAGGAACTGCAGGGTTTTGCTCTTTCTGCATTTCTTCATACTTCAACAGCAGAGGTTGCTGCTTAGGTGTGAACATGGATCACTCTATAAATAGATCAGCCCTAACTCTGATAAAGATGATCAAACAGCTTAATATAAATCATTTTTTTTACATGAATAATGAATAAAAATTAAACTTTGTCACATTTAAGATCAAAAATCTTTGGCATTTTCTGTCGTGAGATACGTACAAACATTTTGTGCGTCTAATGCATGTTGTTTGTGTGACAGAGAGACAGGCCTGAGGAGCATACACAGGAAAAAGACATTTTCATTAGAGCTTTCTGCTAATCCTTGTGTCTTCCATGTAATGTGATTTCCACCAGAGTCGATTGCCCCTCCAGCTCACAGACAAAATAGGCTGTTCACGTTAGACCCACATGCTTTTACCTCTTATACTTTCAAACAGACACTCACACACACACACACACCCCTTTCTCTTAC